TGTAATGTACTGTAATGTAATGTACTGTAATGTAAGGTAATGTACTGCAATGTAAGGTAATGTACTGCAATGTAATGTAATGTACTGCAATGTAATGCAATGCAATGTAATGCAATGTACTGCAATGTACTGTACTGCAATGTACTGTACTGCAATGCAATGCAATGTACTGCAATGTACTGCAATGCAATGTAATGTAATGTACTGCAATGTACTGTAATGTACTGTACTGCAATGCAATGTAATGTACTGCACTGTAATGTAATGTACTGCAATGTAATGTACTGTAATGTACTGCAATGTAATGTAATGTACTGCAATGTAATGTACTGCAATGTAATGTACTGCAATGTAATGTACTGCAATGTAATGTACTGCAATGCAATGCAATGTAATGTACTGTACTGCAATGTAATGTAATGCAATGTACTGCAATGCAATGTAATGTAATGCAATGTACTGCAATGTAATGTACTGTACTGCAATGTACTGCAATGTAATGTAATTTACTGCAATGTACTGTACTGCAATGTACTGCAATGTAATGTAATTTACTGCAATGTACTGTACTGCAATGTAATGTACTGTACTGCAATGTACTGCAATGCAATGTACTGCAATGCAATGTAATGTAATGCAATGTACTGCAATGCAATGTAATGTAATGCAATGTACTGCAATGCAATGTAATGTACTGCAATGCAATGTAATGTACTGTACTGCAATGCAATGTAATGTACTGTAATGTACTGCAATGTAATGTACTGCAATGTAATGTAATTTACTGCAATGTACTGTACTGCAATGTACTGTACTGTAATGTACTGCAATGTAATGTACTGCAATGTAATGTAATTTACTGCAATGTAATGTACTGCAATGTAATGTACTGCAATGTAATGTACTGCAATGTACTGTACTGCAATGTAATGAACTGCAATGTAATGAACTGCAATGTAATGTAATGTACTGCAATGCAATGTAATGTACTGCAATGTACTGCAATGCAATGTAATGTACTGTACTGCAAT